CATAGTGTAAAGGTGAGTGGAGAGGCAGCAAGTGCTGATGTGGGTGCTGCCGAAGCTTTTAAGGAGGAGCTAGATTGTGTCATCATGGAGGGAAATTATTTGACTGAGCAAATATTTAATGTGGATGAAACTGGCTTATTATGGAAGCTCATGTTTGAATGGACATACTTCCACAAAGAGGCGAAAACAATGCCGGGATTCAAGGCATTCAAGGACTGTTGGAGGGGAATGTAGCTGGTTTCAAGATAAAGCCCAAGGGCTTTTAAACATGTCAGCAAGCACACACTGCCAGTGTTTTATCGCAGTAACAAGAAAGCATGGATGACCCTAGTACTGTTTGAGGATTGGTTCATGACTTGTTTCATTCCACGAGCCAAGGAGTATTGTCTGCAACAAGGGATTGCATTCAAGATTTTGTTAATTTTAGATAATGCTCTGGGACACCCACCACACCTGGATGACATGCACCCTGATGTTAAGGTAGTCTACATTTCACCTAACACTACCTCTATCATCCAACCTATGGATCAAGGTGCTATTGCTGCTTTTAAAGCGAATTATGTACGTACGATCTTCGCTCAGGCTGTTGCTGCTACTGAAGGTGAGAAAACGCTCAGAGTTTTGGAAGGACCACATTTTGAAATGTATAAAGAACAATAGTGCAGCATGGGATGAGGTTACAGGTCAGTGCATGAATGAAATATGGAAGAAAGTCCTGAAAAGATATGTGAACAGTTTCAGAGGATTTAATGAAGATGAAGTAATTTCTGAGATTAGTAACAAGATAGTGGAGTTCGGTAAACAGCTGGAGTTAGAAATTGATAATGAAGATGTTGAGCAGTTGGTTGAAAGGGTAGCAGAAGAGCTTAGTAACGAGGATCTTATTGAACTGGAAGCACAGAAAAATGCAGCGGAAGAAGAGAGTCAAAATGTAGAAGAAGAACCTGCACCCCAAAAAAATTTTCAGTGAAGCAAATGGCAGAGGCATTTGCTACAATTAATAAAGAGATGCAAATGTTTAACGGAATGGACCAAAATGTTGAGCATTTTTCCAAATTTGACAGAATGGTCCAAGATGCACTTGCTTGCTACAGGGAGATTTATAATGAAAAGAAAAAGCAAACTGTGCAGTCTAAATTGGACATATATTTTAAAAAAATCCCCCATTGCTGTCTCCTCACGACCCACCAGTGCTGCCTCTTCACTCACCAAAAGATGATCCAATACCTTCAACCAGCAAGTTTCCCCTGTATATTAACCTGTCTGAAGAAAGCGACATTGATGACCCACCCAGCCCTGTCTCCTCCTCTGCTTCATGCAGTTAATGTAGTCTCCATGTATAATTAGAAAATTATGGGGGCCCCGTGTGCATTCAGCTGACTACATTAAAGATAAGTGCACAGTAACACTGTATCCATTCTTCATTATTGATTAATTTTACTGTACTGTATTTCATTTTAGATTTGCATTTTCGACCTACGGCCATTTCGACTTACGACTTGGATTTGGGTCCCTAACCCCTTCGTAAGTCGGGGAGCAGCTGTATTTGAGAGGGGTTCCCTGGTTGGGGTCACAAGATGTAGCCCTCCCCATGCTTTCCAAAATATGACTGGTGCCTGGTGCTAAACACAACATACAAAGAGGAGCTCCTTGATAATTTCAAGACAACTATCGAACGTATAAGGATGAAAGGAGAGATCCTTACCATATGTGATACCCTGCCTAGAAGGAGAGTTGGCAATGAATGATTGTCAAGAGCAGTTGGTGTCAAAGGCCGTCTTGACAGATATTGCAAGTCAATATCAGTCCCATTCAAATTAACAAGAACAAGAAAACCAGTTCATAGACTTCATCTATGACTGGTGTAAAGAATGTGAGCCTGATAATGTCCCAAGTTTCAATGGGGATTTCATAGCCACTACACATGCTATCTTCAGTGATGATGTCTCTACCAGAAAGATGTGTAAATGTGGTCACAGGTCAGCACACCAAAACTGAACTAAATCAGTACTTTGATGACCCTAAATTGAAAGAAATAAAGTCTATAATCAGGCAGACAGGTAAGGGTTACAAAAAACTTAAAACATCTGAAATACTAACAATATTTCAACCTGCACTAGTTGCAGTCCAAGAATGTGAAGAAAACAAATTAAATAGCCTGAATCTGCATACTGTATACTCACTTGAGCAAAGCCTGGAGAAACATTAACTTAATACAGGAAAAACAGTAGGAATATATCTCCCATCCAGTCCAGCTTCAAAAGCAATTTAACTGATAACAAAGTGGGCTCATGTTTAGCTGGAACATGTTACCAATCAGAACTTGAAACTTTTGGACAGGAAATTATAGATAGAAGTAAATTTAATAGCTAGATGCCACCTATGGCATGGATAAATCAAGCTCCTCTGGTGAGGACAACATAATCTACACTATATCATTAGCCTACTAAGGAGTGTGCCTGATAATCCATTATTAGCAGTATACTGTACTATGAACCATGATAAAGGTCAGCTGCCCACATCCTGAACCAAGAGCATTAATGTGCCAAATCCAAAGCCGGGACGGCTTGATGTCTTTTGGCCCATATCACTGAGTAGCTGTCTCTGTGAAGCCCTGAAAGGATGGCTCCCAGTAGACGATTTTACAGGACCAGTACTATACAGTTAGAGAACACATGCCTCCTAACCTATATGTTTTTACACAAGTTAAAAATGTATATAATTACATTACTGTACTGTACTACATTCCTAACTGTACAGCTGCATTTACTATTGCTAATAGGAAACTCATTCTGTATAACTAAACAAAATAGACATGTGAGATCACCTGTTACATTTGATAAGTGGCATTTTCTCTCACAGAAAAGTTACAGTCTACACTATTTCAGATGATGTTCTTGTTAATACTGTACTAAAACCTATCATGAAATATAAATTACTCTGAACTATACACATATTGTACAGCCTGTGTGAATCTTGATTTTTATCTCTACTGAGAAAACTAAGGTGTTCAACAAACAAGCTGGTAACTGTAAACGTGAACTATCAAAGCTTAAGATAGATAACAACACAATTAGCTAGGTCTCTTTAAAATACCTAAGTGTCTCTATCCCTTGTACCTCACTTGCCATACAAGAAGTTACTCACCACTGTACAGACAAACTTAAACCACTTAATACTGTAATGTTGTACAGCCCCAAATATGGTTTTAACATTAAAATTGTAAAAATTAAATACGGTAAATACCTGAGCTACATAAGGTCTCTTATAGATTACCATGCACCAGTTCTGGTCCTTCATGATAGGAAAGGCATTGACAAGCTGAAAAAATAAAACAAAATTAAGCCCTTAGAATTATTCTAGGCTGCCCCATGAGGAATGAAATACTTAACACAAAAAATGAACTAGGAATACCCGGTATCCAAGTTAGGATGACTTAAGTAAATTTCATGATAACTTGGAGTCTTTTGTTATGGTGGTCCAAATAACAGTGTGTCCAAGAACTACTAGAATACATTTAGTCATGGAACTGGTGAATCAAAATAGATCCACTCTACTGCTACACATGTGAAGATGTCAGACAAAAATATGTGTGCCCTAGCTAAATTTAAGTCTACCAAAGACACTGCTGAATATAATCTAGGACTGTCAAACAAAACCCTAAAAACTAATTAAAAATGAACCTGCTGATAAATCTGAAGCAAGCAGACAAGTACAAACAGGTTGATGCCTGTCATTCCATTGCTTATTAAGACAAGATGTACAGTATGCAATAAAACATGTGCATGGAGCAATTACAAAATCTCTAGAGCACAAGATGTTATCACTATTACACTAAGGCTAGGATATTAGTACCTCTGGCAGTAAGCCCCTCATGGAGAATGCAATGTAATGTAATGCAATGCAATGATGAGGGAATACTGTGCCAAGGAGAACCTTGACTTCAAAATTCTTCTGATCCTTGACAATGCTCCAGCTCATCCTCCCAGTCTCGACGACTTGCATGGCAGTGTTAAAGTTGTATTCCTGCCTCCCAACACCACAGCACTGATGCAACCTATAGACCAAGGCATCATGGCCGCATTCAAGGCGTATTATTTACACCGTACAATGGCCCAGCTGCTCAAGGCTACAGACGGAGATGATAAACCTACGATCCGGGAATATTGGAATGGCTTCAACATCGTTCATGCAATTGACAACATTGGCAAGGCATGGGAAAAGGTTTCAGAAAGTTGCCTGAATGGTGTGTGGGGTAAATTGTGGCCCGAGTGCGTCAACAGTTTTACAAGATTCACGGACTTAGTCCCAGCAGTGAATAGGGATATCCTCAGCTTGGCTAGAGAGGCAGGTTTTAATGAGCTGGAATCAAAGGATACTGAGGACATCCTGGCATTCCATACAGAAAAGCTCACCAACGAAAATCTACAATTGTTAACAGAACACAGTCCCGTTGAAGACGAAGACGACGAAGAAGAACCTCAACAAACGCTAACTACCAAGAGGATGGCAGAAGCGTTCAACATGATCCAGCAAGGTATGCAAATCCTTGTAGATGATGACCCAAACAGAGAACGTAGCTCAAAGATTCGGTGCAGCATTGATGACAGTCATGGTTGTTACACTGAGATGTATAAGGAGAAGAAGAAGAGTAGCACCAAGCAGTCAACACTGGATTCATTTTTTCGTCGCGGGACGACAGAAGCAGCAGTAGCAGCAGCATCATCTTCACCTTCACAACAGCCAGCAGCCGAGGAGGAGCAAACAACAACGGAAGAGGAGCAAGCAGCGGCGGAGGAACCCCAGTCAGAGTAGGAGGAGGAGGAGGCAGCCGCAGTCTCAGTGACTCTCCACTCTTCTCCCCTCCTCCTCACCTCCACTCCTTGCTTGCATTGATTAGCTGTGATCACCTGATAGCATGGTGTCTAATACCACATCTTAAAATGACACTCTTTTACTGTTTCTTGATACAAGGTGTAGCTACTTGGTAAAACACTGGCTGATCTTTTTTACATTTATTATGCATGATTTAGGGTGATTTCTAAATGTTTAATTGTATACTGTACATATGTCAATAACTCTCGCTTCAAGTGTTTCAAGCAATTAATGTCGAGGGTTCTAATTGAGCGTGAGCAATATTTTTTCTGACATTGAAATTTGAAAAACCTTATATATTTTTAGGGAACTTTCAATATTTCATTAGACACAACCATATAATATAAAGACAAATTTAGGCAGATTATATCATCATTACTGCGTCATTCACTTCTCATCATCGTTATTTTAAGTGAATTATTCACCTCCTCTGGAAATGTTTATTTATGGTACTACTGTACAGTACAGTACTGTATTATGTTGTATTATTTGTTTATTTAATTCGTTTTTTTATAATGACGATCATCAACATGAGAAATTACTTAGGAAGCAGAAATATGAATGTATTTAGAGTGAATTTGTAGAAACACAATGTACCCATTTTCTCCTTTATTATTTCATTCTTTTCGAGTTATTCTATATGAATCTGATTTGTGTGTTAAGAAAAAGAGCATTTTACATCATAAATATAATTACAATGTAAGACATTTTGGTTTCAAAACATTATACTAAATATAATTTAATACAGTAAGTCTTCACTGACACACACACACACACACACACACCCTTTGCAGAACACAACTTGGTCTTAGATGACCAAGGAACAACTACTGATGAGAAGTAAAGGAATTGCATTTTTCTGACTTTTCCCACAAATGGTTCTTTTCTCTGCTGTCAGTCAGTGCAACAGCACTTTGTAGTCTTCAATATTTTTATAAATCCACTCTCAAACACTACCATTTCTTTATCATCATATTCCCTACTTATACTGTCTCCCTTGGTTATCACTAGTTATTCTTTTCATGTATTATTCCTCAGTGTAAGCAAATAGTGACAGTTTTAGAAGGTCATTAACTAGTTAGAATCGATATTCATCGGCAAACATTAAATTAGTGGTCATCAGTGTACTGTATTACCCAACCTAACTCTTCTTGGTAGAACCGAATTCGTATTAAGATTCTAAAAATGGAAATAAATGTTAACAATCTGTGAGAAAGAAGCATGTGTAGTAACATAACCAAATATGTCTGATAATGTTAGAATGCATATAATCTTCTAAAATGATGCAATAGTGATAGCATACATGTAAAATTCAAAGCAAGTTACAAATTCACTCATCACACCAACAAAAATCTGAAAAGCCTAAGAGATATGAAGTTTGAGGATATTCAGAAAACTACAGTACTAAATTTGGGCTACAATTTGAATGTGGTCAAAGAAATTATCCTAAGCAATAGAATGAAGCCTCAATAAAAATTCTTTTGAACACTCCTAACTTCTCTTCAGTAGTTTGCTAATGGAACAGTTCAGTTGAGATTTTTACAGCAGTATTTCTAAACACAAATTATTGAGAACTTATCTACATCCTTAGATAAATCCTAAAAGAGATCTCCTTTATATACTAAATAAAACACTTGATATTATTAAACAAGGAATTTCATAGATATCAAAATTCTTATGGTAGAAAACTATTCACTCTCAAATATAAAACTGAACTCAGTCCTCAAAATACTCTTTAAATTTCATTACCATTCACCAAAAACATGAAACCTGACACATATTATTATACTGTATTCTCAATTTTGCAATACAGCTGTATAATTTAAGTCAATGAAAGTATTTTCAGCAATATTATTTGAGGATTACTAGAGAATCATTTTTCTCAGTATTGCCAATATCCTTCTGGACTAGATGAGGAGCTCCGAGATGTACACCCAAATATTATAGCTTTTATCAATCCAATTCGAGATATTTCTTCCCCAAAAGAAAATGTTATGTGTTCATAAGCAACATGGTTGGCTGTGAAATACATAGGATATCTCCCACCTTTATTTAACACGATTGCAATTTTATATGTTTTACTCGGTGTGATATATACTGGCCTATTAAATATAACTTCCATGGAACTGTTCCAGGACACTCGAGCAGTAAAATGTGTGTAAGTGAGCCGGCAACCATCAGAGTCTTGTAAAAATGCATATATTAATTCAGAATATGACTGCTGTACTGGCTGTGAGGGTAACTCCTGCCCCAAATTTTGTGGCATTAACTGTGTAGGCATCTCCACACCATATATGCAAACATGTTTATCTACTGAAAATGACATAAAGTAGTCCACCAACTGTTCATTATCTAATATATCTGCAATGACGCCAGTTCCAACACATTCACATCGAAGTTGAACACCTTCTCTGAGCCTACTGCTTCTCACGTTAGGATGTGATACAGAACTGGGTGGAGGTGTTGGTCCCCCTTGTCTTTTCTTGTTAATCTGACTGAAGGGTGAGGGAATAGTTGTTACTCCTGGAGAGGAAATATTCATAAGGAGAGTATAGCTCTCTTCCTGTGACAGAAGACCAGACACTGCCGGACTATTGGCAAACTCTGTTGGGCTTAGAGTCAGAAATCTGCAAAATAAAAGTGAAAACGTTAATTGTAATTGGATTTCCCAGAAAATTCCTTGAAAACAGATTCATCTTAAGAATTAATACTTTGTACAGTTCTTGTTTTAACAGATAAGCATTTTCTACAAAAATCCTTCCTCAGAGATCATGTTCCATGCGATGTTACAATGCAGATGATAATATATCCTTGGTAAACCTATATTTTAAAGACAGTATTTTCTTAACATATTTCTCATGCTACCCATACAAAATATAATGCAAGGATATATTCTACTTCCACAGTTTCCCATTAACAGTGATGATCCAGTGTGGTGATTAATTATGACATGTAAATCAAGAAAGCAATTACACATCAATACAAGACCTCTACCAGACACTACATCCCAATTGGAAAAAAATGGCAAACAAACTGCCATCTGATCACAAATCTGTCTGTTGTACATAAAAGGACAGCAAGATCTCTCGTTACCAGTCCTATATTTAGCGGATGCAGTGCCTCCCACTAACACACAGACTTCTAATTGCTCATGCTACTCATGCTAGTCACTAGTGGAGAACAATCAAAGGTAAAATATGCTACAGTAGTGATAAATCTTTTCTGATCAGATGATTAAGTGAGCAACAAACTCCTTGCTTTGATCATGTAAAACCAGTTTTGACCGAAGGGAAAGAGAGTGAGGGAGTCCATGACAGCACGCAGTCACTAAGTGTTTGTTATTTATGTTTTGTGGTGTATAATTATATCACTATTATTTATTGGCCCAAATTAATGACTTAAAAATAATATTTTATCCAAGGACAAGGAATATTATTGGGTATTTATTCTTTTGAAAGATAAGGAATACCGTACTCCTGTATCTTAATTTATATTAATTTGTAAAGCTAAAAACTTACTGCATTTTTAATGCAATATGAAAAATGTCACTGGGAGCCCATATAGTATAGGTATTCCACTTTAATGATGGTGATGTAAACAATCCACATAAACGACGGTCATTATCCGGCCAACACAGAATATGAAATGAATCTGTCGGTGCACTTGTCAGCTGCGGTCTACCCACGCACCGCCACACGGCCACCCGGTGCAGTACAGTACCAAGTTTTTTTCCATGATGATCACACACGGCCGTGATTGTGTAGCTCAATGATTATCGGTCAGTATCAGTTTTTTTCTTAACTTACAGTGAGAGGACATAACTAATTTTCGCATTGTTCTCTGTTTTCGTGAGTGTGAAGTGATTTTTGCTGGTTTTTGTGACTGTACAGTGCTTTGTCTCTGTTGTTGTGAACATGATAGGAGCCGTGTCGGCTGCAATAACATTATCATCGTTCACACTATTTTTGTGACAAGTGCTTTTGCTGTTTTCATGACTGCAAAGTGAGCAGTGTAACACTGAAAATGTCTGGGAAGGCCAAGGCACTCAGGAAAACCATGTCTTTGGAGGTGAAGCTTGACATTGTGAAGCAGCATGACTCTCCAGAGGCTGTGGGAGTTGGAGTAACATCTCCACTCCAACTTCAAGAGACCCCTTGGTCTTGAAGGAGACATGTAATGATGACCAGGCTTATTCTCAATGATATGGTGAGTGTTGTTTAATTGTGTTGTAGGTATAGTATTAGTGTAGGATTTGTTTTGTTTTTTTGGTGACACGTGTGGGAGTTGGAATGGCTGGGAACGTATCCCATTGAACCCCATGTTGTAATGATCCCGATTTATGATAATTTGACCTGCGATGGGTTTTTCAGAATCGTAACCCCATCATAAATATGTTACTAAGACTGCATATATGTGGGGGTTCAATATATATTATTTGATTTTAAGTCTGAATCTCCCAGCCCCATTCTCCCAAAAACTTTTACAGTACAGTATCTCTATTTAAAAAACAACCTTCCATGAGAGACACCTTACTGCACCCATTATTCTGCTGATGAGAGATCATAATATATTATTAAGCTTTATACTTATGCTAAACAGAGTTTTCCCCTAAAATATGGGTTAAATTTGCTGAGGCAACCCATTGAAGAGTGTCTCCCATCAGTTTGGGGGGAGGGGAATGACTGCGCACTAAAAATAAAAAAATTATCTTTTAATGCAAACACCTTTTATTTAATTAGTATTACAGGAGAAATACGTGAAATTTATAATTCGTTAAAAGCTATATGTTGCAGTCATCAAAGCGTAGAGTCTAGGCAACACAATATGAACTTACAACTGCTTGTTTTGGGGTGAGGCGCATGCTTATGGTTTGTCTCCTGATTATCAGGCCAACCTGATGATCAAGGGTGGAATGTTGGGAAAAGCTGGCCTGTTAATCAAGGCCCCACTGTTCAGAAATTCAGGGTTGCGGGATTACTGCTTAAATGTAATAAACACAGGAGTTACCACACTACCCTGTATTTACAATACATAAATTTCTCTTTAACTTTTCAATAAACCACTAAGCCTTTCAAAGTCTTTTGCATGGTGGTCTAAATAACAGTAGATAAATAATTACTTTAATACATACTAAATCATACACTAAGATCTTTGAGAAAATTTTTATTTGTGATTTGACATTTTGCCAAGGGATGAAGATAGTGAAAAGAGTTTGAGAACCTTATTCCTCTTTCAATAAATTCGATCTTTATGAAATTTCTTGTTGATCATTACTGTGTTGCAGTAGGATATAGGGCATATACGAGTACACATAGATTATTATTATTCCCATTTCAAAAGCCAAGACTTTTATAAATTTATGGGGCATTGTCCTGGCTCTGTAAAAGTTATAATACAGTGATAAATGAATTTGACCGAAATGCTTTGGGTAATATTCTTTCAAAGTTTTGAAAAGAATCTATAAAAATGATTACAAATAACTGACAGAAACATACCACAAATGACTACAAAATTGTGGATAAAAAATATTGAAGAACGTATCCTGTACAATATATTGGTTTAATACAGACTTATCAATCTATATCATGTACGTCTTTTTCCACAAAATACAGTACAGTATCATGAAGATACTTTCCTTCATAATTTGCTAGCTGATTAGACCCCAAATCCTCTAAATATTAAGACTCAACAACATTGATTGAAAGGTTTTCTGGAGACTGCTACACTGGTTTGACTCATAAAATAAGGAGTGTCACTTTCATGCAAAAGAGAGAGGGAGAGAGAGAGTAAACAAGTTGTGTCTGTTAAATACTATACATATACCACATTGGGATACATGTAAATAAGCCTAAAAAAATTCACCACTCAACTGGGGTAAAAATTCCCATAATAACCCAGATAATGCACAGGACCACCTGACCAAAACTTCAGGTGGTCCTGCTGAAATCTAGGTGGTTCTGAATCTTGTTGCAAACAATTTATCTCAATTTTAATTTACTTAAAAGTATACACACATATAAACAATCACATTCATAAATATCACATGATAATCATCAGATGAGAAGTCACCATCTCACAAAAATCATCAGCTTCACTTTTTCCACACAATCACTCACTGGCTAAAACCCACAAGGCTCAGTACATGGACGACATGGTTCTGCACCTGATATATTCCATATGTGAATTATCTCTAAACGATGAAGTACGTATTTGATAGTTCTTTGTCCCTAATACTGCCATCAACTGATCCCACAGATGATAAATTACTCCTCCAGTTTGTTTAAATTCTTATTTTCATGTGTGAAAACACCAGTTTGCAACTCTGCAGTCTACACAGGCAGTGTCTAAATTAGGTCATTTAAGGATAATATATGCGAGTAGATAGCCTGGTGGTGGTGATTCACTTTCACCTATGTTGCTTCTGCCAGCTTTCCATGATACCTATAAGATATTAGAATAAAGATAACTGTTAAGAATAGTGATGCCTGTTGTACTTAAAAAAAATTGTATGAGAAAAAATTCACTAACGAATAAAATTTTAATCTTCTACAGAATGAAAAATTTATATACAGGGTATATATATATATTTTTTTATCACTTGAGAAACTAGGTGAAGTACATCATCTTTTAAGAATACCCACGGTAAACACCATGTTTGTTTATGATAGATGGTAGGTAACAAGAACCAACCATCAAATGGAGCCAATCAACCTAACTTAACCTAATTGGTTACAGTTGTTTTTGTTAGATTTTGTTTGGTTATGTTAGGTTCAGAAGGTTCACTTTATCTGATACTGTACTGTATTAGAAATAAACAGTCGCCTGCCAACAGGAATGACCATCACCAGCCCAGATAACATCATATACATACCTCAGTAGTTTCTCTAAAGGATTAAAAAATATATATATACTCTAATGAAAAAATTAAAACTTTATTCATTAGTAATATTATTTTTGTAAAACAATTTTTCTAAGCTGAAGTCACTAAACTTAACAATTATAGGATGTTCTAGAAAAAATCTATAAACTGAAAACATAATACAGGTACCTGTACTGTAAATTGAAAGACTAAATGAGGAAATTTGGTCCTCTTATGCAATTCACCACGGCTGGATATTTTGTTTTTGTAATTACTGTACACTGAAAGTGTAAATGTGGCTGTAAGGATTGGAAGCTTAGGGCATTACTGATACTGTACAGTATTCACGTTCTAGCATGCAGAAAGAAAATCAATAAATTTTGCTTATTTTTGTAAACTTTTATTTTATGCAAAAATGTACAGGTAGTGGCCGTTACACAATGGATCTATATATTATCGATCAGTTTTACGATGTTAAAAAATTAACACCATTTATCACTATGCGATGGTTGAGATCAGTGTTTTGATGGTTGCTACCCAAACATTTTAACTAAATTTTCACTGCTATAAAAAGTAATGTGCAATAATTCACAATATTCCAAGATATGATGATGCAATCTCGGAATGGTGTATCGTGTGAGACCCATGCAGGATGCGCGGCAGGCTCTGGTCATTCCCACTGACTGCCAGGATAAGCAGTTGAACTGTCACATTGCCCAGAGGATGTTTTGTGTGTGGAAGAAGCTATTCTTCGTACATAAAATAATGTGCTGTATACTGTACTCTACCAATAAATGTGAGGAATACAGTACATAAAAATAGCAATACTGTAATAAAAGAAGAAAAAATAGTGTATTGCCATTTTGCAATATTGTCACTACACAGGGGATAACAAGAGACCAAGCTTAGATCCCCATGCCGCACTCCCCTCCCCCATTATATGTACAGTATGTACTGTATAAAGTCCCACACACCTGAGAAATGTTTATTCCCTTTATTTTTTCAACCTTATGATAATTTCATTGCTTTTCTTTTTTTTTGCACATTCGGTATGGACGATTGTCTATGCAAGTAACAGAGTAAAAAAAGATATATAAATATGAAGATAATTACTTACACTGTATCCACCCAAAATTGCAAGTTGAAAAATAACAGTACTGTACAGTAACACAGCTCACACTAACTCTCGGGGATTTTATGTATTACCTGTATGTTGCGTTACTGTATGTTTACCCCTCTGTGATAAGTTCCGTGCACGTAAGAAACATTTATCCCCTTTGTTTTTTTACCTTATAATTTTTTTTCTTTTGCACATTGTGTGCAAGATTGTGTGTATGTAACAGAGTTAAAAAATGAAGAAAATTACATATTCCTGCACAAAATTACTTGTAGTGAGAGCTGGAAGATCCCAACTTACTTCTGTACATGTACAAATCATGTAAGGTAAGTGAAAATGTCTTTATTTTGTATAAATTTAATGTTTTTGTCTTTATTTTGTATAAATGTATTGTTTTCATGTCTATTTATATATTATTTGGGTTATTTAGACATTACTTAATAATTACTGTATAGCAGCAGGATATAAAACTTGCTTGGGCTCTTCAGGGGCTCAAGAATGGAACCTATTTTTCCCCACAAGTTATTAATATCGATATACGATCGATCACTTATTGATGGCTTTTTGAGGTTCCTAACCCCATTGTATAATGGTCATTACCTGTATCAGTTCATCCAACTGTGGCCAAATGTGCCTGTAATGGTCATTCGTTCCTGCAGACTTTGGTTGTAGGAATTGGGACTTTATCCAGCACTGAAAATCACACTGGATATTTCCTTAAAAGGGAAATTGGGTCCCATAGACTTAATGGCCTCTTAGGATAAATGTGAATACAGCATACAAAGCCTCAGTACACTTATTGGCAGTAAGGCTAGCACTGTATTCAACTATCTTTACTTCCCCAACTGTAAATTTAGGTTCCCATTTACAACTGGAAGAACTCTGGGTGTCATGGACGCAAACATGTGACCCTTAAGACAGAAGGCAAGCACTGCATCACTCCAAAAATGTTTAAGTACTACAGTATATATTCTGAAACTTTTAGTGTTACATTAGGCATTGTGAAAATATACTGTATGTGAGGTAATGAGATGCATATTCCTTGCAGTCTTGAATCTGGGAATTTTTACCATTACTCTAAATTGGATAATCTTCAAATTTTTGCTGAAAACAGCTTAAAACCTTGATTGACACATGCAAACCAAAATTCTCTGTTGCATACGGTATTTGAATGGCACATAAAGTGTTGTGTAACCGAGTATGTATGAAGAGATAATAGAAAATAAAAACACAAGGTAAGGAACCAAATAAGATGAGGAAACCAAGGGAACAAATAGAAGTAGCAGTTAAGAATGAAATAGAGCAAAAACAAATTAACAAGTGGATCAAGAAAAGTGTGGAGTGAGCATTATGCCAAAGGATGCAAATACAGTGATGAACAGGAGAATTACAAAGCTGATATTTTATATGGATGCATGAAGAAGGAGCAAATTAGAAGATATAGAAGTGTTGTAAATGAGAATAATATATAGATTATACATAATTTAATATATAATAAATACAAAATGAGAAGATTTGACAGTGAAGGAAGTATCAGGCAAAACTTAGATCAGGATCTGGTCAAATGGCATGGAAAATCGACAGAATGGAAAGTGGATGGAAGGAAGGAGAAGAAATTATCATACAGAAAATGGAAAGATTGATTTAGGGATGTACCAAAAGTGAGGTGGATGGACATACAGGAAGCAGTAGTGCCTGAGATTGAACAGAAAGCAGAGCATTGAGAGATTTTGGAAAAGGACATGCTGCTGCAGGCTAATGCTAGCTTGTGTAAGACAACAGAGGTTAACTGGTATGTACTACAGTAGAATACACTCCTTCATAGCAGTAAGAAGGACTAAATGCATCAATTAAAGGAAAATGTAAGAGCATATATTTGTTTTAGTTTCTGGACAGCCTGCATTAAGTGTGAAAAGACCTGTGACAGAAAAAAAAGATAACGCAAAGCAGTACATGCCAAAATTTTATGAAATTAACCATGCTTGAAGACTGCATAGTAAACCGTTAGGTGGGTGGTATTGCATTTTGAATGTAGTCACAGAATAAAAATACCATGTGTGAATAAGCTAATTTATTTCTTAATGTCTCAGGAAAAATAAAAATACTGTACCAATAAGAGGACATAAGCATCTGCATCCCCCCCCCCCCCACATTAATAATATTGAAATTAGAATATACTGTACTGTATCCATTTTAGTAAAAATCACCTTGTACTACCTTAAAGTGCCTACAAACTTTTATGAAGATAGTTGAAACAGCTTTTGAGTTAACCTATGGAAACAAAACTTGGACACACATAATGACAGATAGATGGACTAAGAAAATCCATTTCTAAATTCAAGGACAAATGAGAAATATCTATACCTGATCAAGCCAAGGCAGTCTCCCAATACTTTACGCTGGTTCATGGGGCTGACTTCTAAGGACTGCCGTACACACTCTTGCTTGGCCCACTGGAGACAAGCTTCCCACAGTACCAACTCTGACACTAGAAAACACACAGGGCTTATGTCATTTGTTATAATAGTTAGAATCCTTGTTTATATTACTAAATCAACATTTTCCAACCTTTGCTAATGTACATTATCATTTAATTTTTCTTTTTGATTGAAATTTCTGTGAAGCTGAGGATAAAATTGTTAAGTAATAGATACATAGGTAATCTAATACTGAACTCAATACATCTGTAATCATGGGATAGCCATTCCTTATTAGTTAACATGAAATAACAAACTGTGATATAGCGAGGATAATATACTTCTGATTCCTTATTTAAACTATTTCTGCTCACATTGCCTTCTGACATATTTTGTGTAAACTCAGTTTTTAAGTTACTTTGAGTGTTTTTAGTCACATATGGCTTTCTATACAGTAAATTGGCAAGGTGTACTTTTGAGAAAAAGATGAATAACAACCAATTTGTAATAAACTTCCCACTTCAGGATCCATTACCTTTAACTCTTATAAAAATCTTACAGATACAGGATAACCAATGAACCCCCAAAACAATATCTCACAAAAGGACTTTTTGAGCAAAAATATCTTTCCTTTTATTGTATAGGTATTAGCCAAATCATGTAAAGAAAGTTTAACAAAACCTATACAGTATCAAAAACATTTTTACAGGTACTGTATTGGCTTTTTTTTAATCCTACTACTAGTGCAGGACTAATACATGAAATGGATTAACAAACCACTTAGGATTTCCTGTTGAAGTATAGTGCGAAGGGTGGCAGCATCTATTTCCTCAAAGGATGCATCCTTAAGCACTTGATCTGTTGTATTCTGGATTATCTGGTGAATAACAATGGCTCACTTTTGTTATAATAATAATAATAATAATAATAATAATAATTATATATATATATATATATATATAGATAGATAGATAGATAGATAGATAGTATATCACTAGTAAGGAATCGAACTTGGGACCTCTGTGTGGGAACAGGGAGCACCACAATGACAGCTAAAAGGCTCTCGTTGATTTAGAATAAGATGAAGGCATAGGCTTTGTGTGAAATACAACAAAGCCTTGGTTGGGTTTTACAGTAGTTGTCCTTGTGGTGGTGTGGTAGTGCTCCCTGTTCCCACACTGGAAGGTGGGGAGGTCAACTAAAAAAACTGGAATGATTCAATGTATGAGTCAAGAATTTATACAGATTTATAGAAAGCAGAATCATTGCAAAGGCATGGTGGTCACTTGGCTTGGAGCAAATTTCCAGCTTTCTTCCCTATTCTATCCACACAGGAGGGCAATTGCTGCACATAGGCCTAATCTTCAGTTGAGGTTGGCTGTGCAGGAAATAAGGATGATAAGTTGATAAAAATTAAGAGATCAACCCTGGTAGAACCTAAAGGCCAAAACTAAACCTCTAGGAAACATCCTTTTATGACTAGAGTCTCCTGGCAAAGGGGGCTGAGCCATAAACTTTTTGTTGATGGGCATTCATCTATTGGTAAATGCACTTGGCATTTGTTTGCAGGCTTCAGGCTATTGAATATGTACAGTTCTGCAATCTCTCATCTCTAAATCACTACAATTATATTTTTAATAACAGTTACTTTCCAATTTTAAATGCCAGATAACCTGCTTGAATATAAAATCTAGGACAGAAACCTCAAGCAATAGCTCTTTTGTAAATTCATATATTAATTATTTTACAAAAATGGTTTAAAAAGTATCTAGTTTCCTATCCTTCCCCCACAAAAAAATATCATACCTGCATACACTTGTCTAAAAGTCTGGGCTCTTCAAACAAACGTGCAAACTCATAAGCACGGCACACATTGCCTGGGTGCAAATCCCGCCATATAAATTGGGTGCACTGCTCCACGAGGGATGGAATCATGTACTTCTTGGCTGCATAGCAAATCTCACACACTTGGTCAAATGATTTCAAATTAATATCATCACTGTAGATGTACCTGTATAAAACAGAAAATTACAGAGAAAATTTAAAATGTTACTTTCTGAATTACAGTAAGTAAAAACAATTTAATACATACCTCATATTTATGGCATAAACCTTCCAGATCTAAGATGAATGAAAGATTAACTGTGATATTCAATTTTATAACCAAGTATGCTGTGGGTACTCGTGTACCAAATCATTACGTCAACAGGTTGTCACCCCAGGGCTCCCGAAATCACCAACATGTGTGACTGGGAGTAATTCATTAATAGTACTGTATCTCACCAAATTAAATTTTACTGTAGTCCCTTAAAAGGTTGTATAGTACTTGGGACTCGGGTAACAGAAAGGCTGAGAGTTAACAGTCCTCACCAGCTACACTAACACAAACACTATACTCCCCGATCCAATGTCAAGGTTACAAATTGGGTAACAATCTCAATGTACCTTAGTTCCAGCTCACCTCAACAAACTAATGGGAAGGAGGTAGGATTTGAGTTCCCTTATCGATGCTTAGTTATAAAAGAGGATTTCAGGATCAATCCTTCGTTTATAAATTGTATAAGGATGTAATCCACCCTAATAAGTAGACCTAACTTATGAGGCTCACTGGCCTCTGAAAAACAGCCAGAAAACTGTCCTTACATGACAGGACCTGTTACTAACTTGAACTGTGTTAGTCCCTGACTCACAGGTTAACTTTAACAACATTTGCTATTAAAAAGCATTTTTCACCATTATAATTTTCCTATCTAAATAAAAGTTATCTTTATTTTACAGGAACTGAGGATAAAAACTGAAAACAAAGTTCATCACATAAAGATAAAAATATATTTCAAATATCAGATAAAATCATCATTGTCGGCTACAACTTTCTTGGTAGAGTCACGTTACCAGATGCGTGATTTTTGTATTCTTAATTGGCAGAAAGGAGATTAAATCTAGTTGCATCATACTCACTGCAATAAAGCTTTGAATGCATCTGGTTGCACATCTAAAATTTCTATAGGTTTGTCAGTCTTCTCTGCCATCCCTCCATAGAACATGGCTTCAAAAACTGGTGATGACATGGCCAATATGAGACGGTGTCCACGCATAGTCTGGAAAAAACAAAGTTATGGTGAGTAATGCTATCATAAGTGGGATGAAATCATATCTGTAAAAATATGCATGATATAATATGATTGAGAAGTGTTAAGGAATAGAATGTCAAATGTAATATGCAGCATTTCTGATTTTGAAGCAAACAGACAGTAATATGGTCTCAATTCACTTTTAAATGCTTTTGTATTAATATTACACAGTAGCCTTACAGTACACTGTTTAAACTGCAAAACTGTACTGTAAGGCTATAAATAAGTTTTCAGTGAGTCAGCAAATGTTGAGAGATCCAGAAACTGCACTAATTCAAGTCAAGAAGTACTGACTGTACAGTACAATATATACAGATATAAAAATCTAAATATGGATAATAATGTCGGTTAATATATAGGACTAACCAGTGAGCGAGTTATTTTTATTACTCTTTATTTTCTTATAATATTTTCATGTGAGTTCTGATATGATAATCATTTATTGTGAAAATTGTTCGTTTCATAGATAATTAGGCACCTAGGCCCGCACTAGTTTATCTTGCGGGCGGTAATGAGGCCACGCTCTGCTGAGGGGCTTTTCCTGCACCTGGGACAGTTTGTTTTTCAGCATGTCTTGTGAAGGTTGTCGCTGTTCTTACATGGACGTAATTTGTGAACTTAAGGGTAAAGACAACGAGACCCTTCAATTGTTTAAAGATCACGGCATTGTTCCTTTACATAGAGACTGTTTATTTTCTTACATTATTTTCATCAGTGAGTTCTGATATGATAATCATTTATTGTGGAACCCGCCAACACAGTAAATCACTCTGCCGCCCGGGGTGCATTGCGCCTATGCGGCCGTATCATCTCAGGTAGGTTTGTTTGGTTAGATTGGTTAGGTCTGTTTTTAATACCCACAAATGTTAAGTAACATTTAATTTTAAAATATCCAATTTTTAACATTTTTCCACAAACTACAACAGTGTTCGCTATAATATAACAGTAAAACTCCGGTGTTTTCATAACTTTTTCAATTAATTTTGCTCAGTGGTTAGTCCTATATAATTACCATAATGTCTAATACCAAATCAAGACAGATACTCAACATCTTTCACTATTAAGTTTTAACTTACCTTTTGATTATTTTCATTGCCCACAATAAATGTACAGTCAGACCATTGCCCCGACTGTAACACATGACCTGCCCTTTGGCGGATATATCTAAGCTGTGTCTGCCAGTCTATACTATTGCTGCTGCTGCTGTGTGCCATCTTGGAGACCAGTGTGGACCTCTCATTTGCTAAAAATAACAAAAGAATAACATGAACATCAAATATTATTAACTCAAAAGTTTATTATACACAGAAACACGAAATATTCTACACATGAAAGCAAACTGTCTTCAGCTTTTTTAACTGGTATAAAAAAAATCCAGAACTTTCTCAGTGTCTGGGAACCAGGTAGGTAGATTGGGACATTCTTGCCCTCTCCATTTACCCAATATCATACTCCTGCATTGTTTTCTTTGTGATTTTTCAAAGATGTTGCGTATTCACCACTGTGACAGTAGACAACTTATGATAGCCCATCTATGCCTTTATGGGAGATATCGGAATAACTGTTCGCCCTAGCTTTAAAACTCTTCTTCATTACAGTGGCCACACATATTGTTGGGATACTGAATATCAAGGCTGATGCACTGTTTAGGAATTGAGCAAGATATTCTAGGTGGAGATGAGATCCAGTCTCTTTCTCTTGGATAATCTCCCTGGGAGTTTGTCCATGAATGTGACCTCGAGTGGAGTGACCATCTGCTACCTCCAGACATGTACCAGTACATTGTACAGTCTATTGTACATGAGTCAACACTCATTGTGTGCAAAACCAACATAAAGTGAAATCCACAATGAATGCATGATAATAGATTTCTCGTGAAATAAAGCCAAGAGCCGCATTCTATGCTGGACTAAAGAGAGTCATTTAGCACTAGGGGAGGAGAGGCATATTGAGCCTCACACCCCCTTTAATGCAGGACTCATGATAACATTAATGAAAAAATATATTTAAAAAAAATCCAAAGTTGATTATTTCACTCCAAATCATTGTTCTTAAAGCCTGTCACAGTTCTTACCAATCCTTCTCAAATCAAACTATATATGTCACTAGGTCTGGACGACGTAGACAGTACGGTGTAGGTCGTGTTTGTTTACCTCTGGTTTACCTCAACGTTCGAGCCTAAAACATAGTTATATATTTTTAATCATATCATTATATTACAAGCGGTACAATAAGTATTGATTAATTTTTAAAGAATATATTTTATTATATTTCGATGATATCCTTGCTTAATAATATATTTCATCAAGTATTTGTGAATGCTGTTCAGATGCCTTGGTTATTTTAGTGTTACTCACGTCATCTTTGTTCCTCGTATATCTTTTAGAACTAAAAGAATATGCCGCCCACCTCAGCGGCTCTAAACAACGGTGCAAGTTCAGGATGTTAACTAAAGTACAAGAGATAATGAAGATGATAGACGTGACCTATCGCCCAAGCGGCTAACGAGCCGATCAGTGGTGAAGAGGATAAAAGTGAAAGTAAAAGTTACCTCTTGCATTAGAATTTAGGACAGGTGTTGGGGTTACCATTGCTATTAATATTAATATTTAGTAATAATAATAATAATTTATAGTCAGTCAGTTTGACCAAAGACAGCTGACAGAACCATCAGAGGTTGTTTCCAGTAGACTCCTTATGCCAGCACCATCGGTCACCCATCCTAGTGCTAACCAATCTCGTTGCTACAACTACCGACGCACATGACATCACACTTAACAGTGTCAAAACCTATGTGCCCCCCTCCACTCCCACCGTGCCTATCCTATCACAGCAGTCCCCAGCCGTTACCAACGCCCCAGCCTCCCCTTCAAATAGGCCTTACACTTGACTTATTAGGGACTTGTCACCCCTTGTCATAAATGTAATGTATCGGGAATCCCTCCCCCCCCCTCTCCCACACACCCATCTTGTCACTGTATGTAACTTGCCAATAAAATCCAGGGCCCTTATGGCACTTACGTGAGTTACATCTTTAAAAGAAAGCAGGCATGAACTCTATATGCTTCCTGTTGGGCATTGTAAAAGCTTTTGCGCTTCGCCTTACACAGGATGCAAGGGGGCGCCTAATAAGTTAGCCCCCTCGAGGGAAAAAAAAGTTGGTTAACTGCATTTCGTTGTCATCTGTGGACCCAGATCCTGGAGCATGGTGGCAATATCGACAATATATATCTGGATTTGGCCAAGGCTTTTGACAGCATATCCCATGCAAGGTTGAAAATTAAACTGGAGAGTGCGGAATTCAGGGTGTGTCCTCGTGTGGATCAGAGACTATTGTAGTGGATACTCTCCCCTACACTATCTCCATGGCCGCAAGCAGTGTTTGGTGATTAATAGCACGAAATCGTCATGTCACATGTGCACCTGTGACAAGCGGGGTACCACGGGGCAGTGTAATGGGCCCACTGTTGTTTGTTTCATAAATGATATACCAGAAGCTATGTACACTCCTCCGTACAAATATTCGCAAAGTCCCCGACAGAAATCCCCCAGTTAAAGTTCAATGTAGGACAAAAGTCTAATTTTTCATAGTATTGTTTCCTAAGACCTTTAGGAGAGCCTTTGCCATCTTCTTTGATTACGGCCGTAGTCTTGTGAGGTTTTCCATTTTCTCAGATCTACTTGTTCTTTGGTTTCTTCTGTTCTTCTCATTTTCTTTTAGTTTTTTTGTTTTTGTTGTTCTAGCTTGTGTTGTTCCCTACTCTCTTTGTTCATACATAATTGCTGGTAGTTCCAATCTTTCAATCATTGGTGAAGAACCAGGTTACGAGATATCTAGACGGTCCGTCCCTCGTAATAAGAACATAAGAACATAAGAAAATAAGGAGTCTGCAATAGGCCGGTTGGCCTGTGCATGGCAGCTCCTGTCGAGAGCTACTACCACTCTCTATCATCCATGAATCTATCTAGCCCCCTTTTGAAACTTTCCAGAGTTCCCGCACTTACTACAAAGTTGCTAAGCTTGTTCCACTCGTCCACCACCCTATTTGTGAACCAGTTTCTTCCTAACTCCCTCCTAAACCTAAACTTATCCAACTTGAATCCGTTGCTCCGAGTCCTATCCTGCTCGGATATTATAAGAACTTTGTCTATATCCCCTTTATTGATTCCTTTCACCCACTTAAATACTTCTATCATATTTCCCCGCACTCTTCGTCTTTCTAGGGAATGCAAGTTAAGTTTCTTTAGCCTATCCTGATATGGAAGGTTTCTAAGTCCCGGAATCATTTTTGTCATTCTTCGCTGCACTGACTCTAGTGAATTTATATCCATTCTATAATAGGGGCACCAGAACTGAACCACATAATCGAGGTGCGGCCCGACTAGCGCAAGATATAGTTGCAATAAGATCTCTGCACTCTTGTTACTTACACTTCTAGATATAAAACCCAACACTCTGTTTGCCTTATTTCGAACTTTAACGCACTGTTTTCTAGGCCGTAGGTCCGGGCTTACAAGTACCCCTAGGTCACTTCAAGGGTGAAGTGCTTCCCCATCTGGAATACTGTCACCCCGTCTGGTCCCCGAGATATGCTAGGGACTGTCAGTTGGTTAAAAATGTTCAAAGGAGGGCCACCAGACTGGTACCTGCACTTCAGCACCTCAGCTACCCTGAACTTTACTTTTATCCTCTTCACAACTGTTTTAATACTCTTTTATTTTACTCTTTTATCCTCTTCGCCACTGATCGGCTCGCTAGCCGCCCGGGCGATCGGTCACGTCTCTGTCACGCACTGTTGGCAAATTGCCTAGCTTATACTACAGACGGGCAAGGGGTGACCTAATTGAGGTGTATAAGCATCTCAAGGGGTGACCTAATTGAGGTGTATAAGCATCTCAAGGGGTGACCTAATTGAGGTGTATAAGCATCTCAAGGGGCACTACTCAGTCAAGTGTCCTTACTTGGAACTGGCGGACGCTCGCCCCACAAGGGGTCACAGCTCAAGATTGAAGAAGCCCCAAGTCCAGAAAACTGTGAGGGCAAACTTTTTCGGAGTGAGGGTTGTAAACTCTTGCAACAATCTACCAGAAAGTGTTGTGACGGCACCGAGTGTGAGCTCTTTCAAGAGAAGACTTGACCAACACTGGAGCAGGTTCAGGTACATTCAGGAGCCGGTGCATGCCTAGTACTTGCCAACAGTGCGTGACAGAGACGTGACCGATCGCCCGGGCGGCTAACGAGCCGATCAGTGGCGAAGAGGATAAAAGAGTAAAATAAAAGAGTATTAAAACAGTTGTGAAGAGGATAAAAGTAAAACTTGTAATTACACAAATTCTAATTTCTAGCTAACTTTCACTAAGTTTGTAATCATGCTCTTTTTGGCTCATGATTAAATCACCGTTTTACTTCGTCTTTAGTTACCTGTTAAATCAATATGACAATAGGAAATTTTTTTTATGGTTGGAAAACTTTTATAATTTAATAAATTTCCCCAAAGTTATCATATTATTGGCCAACTATTGAAAGGTGTCTCTGTTTACAGCCTGAGCCGCACTCCTTGGAGGTGTCACGTGTGGGGAGTCACTGAATTGTTCAAACCTCTGAAGAAACGCCAATTATTTGACTACTCTTTATTGTATTGCGAGTTATGTTGATCTGAGTCAACATGAGGGCTCTAGACGGACGTAATAATGTTAAGGTTTACAATTTAAGTGCCGGAAAATCACTTCCTGAGGTAAGTGTAAATGTGATCATGTTTTAAGGCAACTAGTTATGTACTTGACTCGTTCTTGGGATAGTTTATTTTAAATCCTATTACATATTGCTGTCCAGAAGGCGTTTTGGCTAATATTGACGACTATATCACCTACACGTTATTTGCTTTGGTGTTTGCGGTATAGTCAATATTAGCTGGTTAGGTTAGTTTAGTTTAGTTTAAGGTTAGTTTAAGTTAAGTTGAACTTTTAAATTAACACTTTTAACTCATTTACCATAAATGCAACAGTTTCCACTATAAAATGCAGTGAAACTGCAGCATTTTCTAAATAATTTTCTTTGAAAATCAGCGGCGAGAAATTCATCAATAATTATATAATTACCGTCATTTTCATCTTGGTATCCACCATCAGTGGCGTCATCATACCGAAAATATATAAAACACTCAAGATACCACTTGTAACAAAAAATGCCTCTTGCTTGTTATGTTGAGTCCTGTCTGTAAGACCAAAACCCCTGATGATGAGTCCAAGAATGTGGGTAAATATATCCTCCAGTGTGTGACTATTTCCCACCTCAAATTCATAAAAAACATCAACTTAAACTTATTTTGTTTCCTTTAAGTAAGGAATTTGTCAGAATTCAATCAGCGAAAGTCTGGTAATAATTGTTATTTTTATTTCTGTGGCAAACCTGGACAATATGTCAGTTGACGGTAAAATGTCTGTTAACTGAAGCTGAAAAATATTTAATATTCCGATCATGCCAAGCGTATTGCTCGTGCATTGTTTATCAGTTTTGTGGGTAAAGAAAGAATTTTGTTTAATAGTGAAATGTCATGTACAGTAGCAGGTAATAATAGTGCACAATTGGTCTGGACTAGAGCCCCTGTGCTATACAGAGATTATTGGCAACTTGAATTTAACCACTTAACTTGAATATTAAGCTATGCATCTGCAGTGGGAGTAAGTAAACAAAATAATTTGTATTTTTATCTGCACTCACTGGCACTGGAATAATTAGAATGGTTATGTATTATAGTTAATGCTACTTATAATTTTATTACAGTAACAATAATTATACAGTATTAGTAAATGTGTTTTTCAGGAATGTAGCCCTGTCTTAAATCGGGGGATATCTGTATATGTTGACCAGCTACATTGGTGTGGTCGTCATTATCAGCCAACCGGAGAATGATGATTGTTGTAAATAAAATAAACCAACCCAAATGTTACCTAGCCTCATAACATACCTCTCCTAGGATGGAAGTGCATTATTTTAGGTTAGGTAGGTTGGTTGGTTAGTGTTATTTTATTAACAGCTGTTGGAATTGCTAATTGGTTTGTGATAATTTATTATTAATTGCTCTGTGTATGTGTGTGTCTATCATACATAGATTTTTTATAACTGCAGCCATTGAGGTTTCTAATGGCAGATACAGTATAGGCTGCTTGGATAAACGAACAGTAACTATACAGTACTGTGTTTTATAAAATAATTTTTTTTAAAATTTTTTGCAGTGGTTGACAGACAGGAAAAGACGACAACTATCAAAAAGAGATGTTGGTAAGTTTTTGGTAAATGCTTTATTTTATTTATGTGTCATCAGTAAAATGCCTGTAATGTTTGTGTGTGCATGCTGTACATGTTAAACCTTAACCCGTCAAGGTTAAGTGAATAAAAATAGACAATAACGAATCGTGTCTTCCTTGACCAGTGCTTTGAGCAGTATGGTACAGTACCATACTCTAAAGCATAACTAGAATGTGGTGGAATTTTGTAAATACAATCCATAAAATTATTAGTGTATGAATATGAACAGCCATTTATGGACAGAGGCACCAAATATGATAAAGGTCCAGCATCATTCCATCATCGTCATGTTACATGCAACACAATGTCGCTGCTTTTGAAGCTGGTGGTTATTTGTCTTTACTGGAAAAACTAGGGACGAAAACCTAAATTGAATATGAAAAATACTCTTCCTCCATCTGATTTGCTTTAGTCTTGAGGTGAGAAATAAATTTTATTCTACAGATAAATTTTATTAGGTAGGTTGATCATCAATACTACAGTATTGTACTGTCCTTAAATTTTACTCTCGTTTTAAGTGGCTACGTAAATCATATATACAGTACTGTATATTTGTAACATTTGTTTTTATGCTGTTTTCAGAATTTCGACGTAGGATAGAATTGATTCAGGATTTTACAATGCCTGACGTTAGTGGTTGTGTCCGAGTATCCCCAGATGGTCGCTATATTTTAGCCACAGGAACTTACAAACCAAGAGTAAAATGCTATGAAGTTGCTGCTCTATCCCTTAAGTTTGAGAGATGCTTTGATGCTGAAGTCATTCAATTTGAAGTTCTTTCTGATGATTATAGCAAGGTGAGTTTAACTTTGCTTGAATTGACTGACCTAGTTTTGTCTTGATTAGTTATCACTGACTTGAGGGTATTGCAGTATTTATGTTTTAAATGGAATATTTTGTAGAACTTCTTATTTTAGCAAAGTAATAGAAATAAGTACTATGTTTCAGCTTGTTTTCTTACAAGAAGAAAGGTATGTTGAACTTCATAGTCAAGCTGGTCGATGGTTTCGGACTCGAATTCCCAAATTTGGACGTGACTTGGCCTATCATTATCCATCCTGTGATCTCTATATTGCTTCATCTGGGTAAGTATGACAAAAGTGAATACCCTGTAATACATTTGAACTGTACTCTTTCTCATGGTTGGGATCACTGGGTTGTTGTATGCTTGATTATGGCCAACGCTTAATATTGAAATGGATTAAATAGTGCTGTGGAAATAATCAGTTCTTAGGTTTGATGATTGTGGTCTTCTGCTCCAAATATTTTTAGTTGTATTTACCACTGCTCCCAAATATTGTATCTCTCTGACTTCCCATACAATATCTGTTGCTATTATGCCTAATTATATGACTAACATATCTTAATTTTTTTTTCTATGAATTCACAGTACATCATTTCTCTCTTTCCTCTAACCAATCCTAGTACCTCCTGTTCTGCATCTATTCCAACCCATTTATGTGAAAATAGAATTAGGTTGACAGGTATATATTTTCTCTGTTGCATATTTCAATTTTTCTTCTCTTGTTTTTCAGGAGTGAAATATATCGTTTAAATTTGAACCAGGGCCGGTTTCTCAATTCCTTGCAGACAGATGCTCCTGGTGTAAACAAATGTGCTTTTAATAACGTTCATTACTTGTTTACCTGTGGGACTGAAGATGGCAGAGTAGAAGCTTGGGATCCACGATCAAGACACAGAGTTGGAGTGTTGGATTGTGTTGTTCACATGGCTACAGAAAATATTCAGTAAGTTGTCTTAGGGAGGTCATGCTTGTGTGGACTCAAGTAAGACTCTTAATGAACCCCTACTTTCACCTCAAATTCCTTAATGATGGGTTTGAGTTAATAAAGTAATTATTGAAGCATAGGAGTATATACTGTACCAGAGCAATGACAAAAAACAAAGTGAGTGCAGCAATTTTTTAGTAGCCAAACTGTACTTGAGATAAATATCTACTTTGTTGCATATAACAAAACTTGGGAATAAGTAGTTTTATTTTTTACTTATTATTACCACCAGGTACAGTATACACACACACACACACACACATATATATATATATATATATATATATATATATATATATATATATATATATATATATATATATATATATATATATATATATATATATATATATATATATATATATATATATATATATATATGGTACTTGATCCACAACTCAAGCTATGAAGGAAGGATATATGAAAAGAAATAATAGATAATAGTGGATGATGTGAGAGAAAGACAAAAAACAAAGGAGATAGATGGGAGTGGGATAGGCATCCAGGAAGCAGTGTTGCACATGCATGGCCAGAAAGCATGGCATCAAATGTTTTATTGGGGATAAACATGATGCTAGGGTGATGTACGGTATTATGTAACATGGATAAATCAGATGGATATCTTGAGCAGTTTGAAAGAATGAATAATAGTGAGTGAGAGAGAATCTGTGTCATTGTTGATTCTGGCCACCCAGTCATTTTATATAAGAGTTTTTAAGTGTGAAAAAAAGAATAAATTAAATTTTCTTTTCAGGCTAAGTGGATACAAGTCGGTGAAACAATTAGGAATCTCGGCTCTAGCCTATAATGACACACTCACTCTGGGTGTGGGTACACAAACAGGGCAGGTGAGTTAATTGACTTATTGTAAGGAATGGTAATAGAGTGAGTAATCAACCCTTTTATACCTATATGAATAGCTACTGTTTAACTTTTCTCACTGTATTCTTCATGATTGCAGGAAGCTTTCAGTATTCTAGTTGTGCAATTGTCTTATATATAAAGTATTTCAGAATAGGAAGAAAAATTAGGCAGTATTCTGTTCATAAGTTGTAAAACCACTAGCTTGCTCACTCAAATATTGAATATAATGTATTGACTGTTATGGGTGATTTAGATACAGCACACTTTAAAATAAGCTTTCAGTACATAAAGGTAATGAGGCAGTGTTACTAGTTCATACTATACAGTACTCAACTTACATCATTTACCCAACTGAAAAGTTAGGTAGGTTGGTGAATTTAGGTGCCCTAGGCATGAACCATGCCACCATGCCCCCTCACAGTCAGATTAAGATGATAATTATGCAGGCATTGTCAAGCCTTTGGTGAAGTGCTAAAGATAGGTACAGTTAAATGTGGTATACTAGTATATAATAATAATTAAATCTGAAATTTTAAGAGAATTTATTGAAAAGTATGTGATTATTGAAACTAGTACTGTAGTCATAAAACTGATATATTAAAAGAGTATTTGTCCTAGAAGATACAGTTATGCTGTAGGTGTGTACAAAGAAAATAAAACATGATTTTGGACTTGTTGATTATCTTTCATAATCGATATGTGTTGGAGGCAGAAATGCTTCTTAGAGAGTAGAGATGGGAATGTAAAAGTTGAATGTAAAGGATAATTGAAATTTGAGAATGCAGGTGATGCTGTGTGAATGTAGTAAGCAGTAGAAAGAGCCATTATTGGGAGAGGGGTACACTCTTGACCTTTCTAACAGTGTTCTTCCATTGAAATCAACTGGTCCTCTACCTCCATTTGATAATTATACCTTGACAACTGTTTAGTCCTTTTATTGTACTGTTACTTTTAGACTTGCCTGTTACTTATACCTATGTCCATCACAGATTTAGATTTTAAGTCATTCTCATTCCTGATTATTTCTGTGTTAGTGTACCATTTCACCTCATTGTGGGGCTAAAATTTATATTTTTTCTGTCAGGTGCTTCTCTACGACATCCGATCGGACAAGCCATTGCTGATAAAAGATCATAATGATGGATTTCCAATAAAGGATTTGGAGTTTCACAATTCAACAGGATTAGTTCTGTCCATGTCTTCTAAAATGGTCAAAATTTGGAGTAAAGACACTGTAAGTAAAGATTGAAACATTGCTATCTTTAAAACTATTAATGGATGATGATAGTTTATGAAATTAAATGGAATTATTAATGGTAAAAACAAAATAGTATGTACAAATAAAATAATTGAGGGACAGAAAGCATCAAAGTCAGACCAGTGAGGAACAGGGCGCCCGAACGAGTCGCAATCCCTCCACCCGCCCCATCCCCCTTATAGTTGGAACTACAGTATTGCAGACCTTACGCTCCATTCGTGTAATTTCAGTTTTCTTTATCAGTCACTATAGCCACATCCCCCTAGCCCTCTCCTTACCACTCCAGGTCAAGCTGTCATAATATTTTTAGGTAGATATACTCTATCCTTTTCTTTCCTTTTTTTTTTTTACTGTGTTACATGCACACTCAATATTACATACAGAATATGAAAAAAATAAATATCAGAAAGTCAGAAACTTTAAAGGGAATACACTTTTTTCGTGTGTTAAGTGTCCACGCTGAGCAGTGGAGAGGGGAGTGAGGGATATCAGCTGTTCTGAGCTGCTCCCGTGTGTAGTGAAGCGACTGACAAATTTTGTTCAGTAGCCAAAGGGCAATACAGTATATTTTATGGGAATAGTTTCCAATCCTTCGTTATTCTGTATTGTTGTGATGCGGGCTGTGGTGGCAGGAACATGTGGTCCTACCCCGTCCCACGCACTTCACAACAATAACAGTGACCCGCAAGATGCCAAGGTTTGTTTTGAAATTTACAGATACAGTAGGCTCTCACCAATAACGTTTAATAGGTGCCTGAAAAACACCGTTATTAGCGAAAACGTTATTTGTGTGACATTAAAATACATGTAAAAAGGATTTATTGGTGCCGCTGCCACAAGAATTTCACCCATTTTTTCCTTTGAAGCCCTCCTAACACTTTTTGTTAGCTGAAATAAAAAGAATTACCATTCAATCATCAAAATAAAGAGTTTGAGTAATATAACACTTAGTTTTTGAGGTGCTTGGTGTGATGATTGTTCCGTATCTGAGGGCAGCTAACACTTGCACTGTCTTTCATTCTACAGGCTAACCATTTCACAAGAAAATGCTCTGTTATCACTAACAACCTGTTTCTATCGCCTTTATCATTCATAGCTCGCCTCGCATTTCCATCACTACCGAAATATTTTTAGCCAGCACAATACTCTTCTTGGTCTCCTCTAAGTTCCTCTTAATATTTCGCACTGTAGACCCAGGACAGTTCAATTTCCTCACTTTAAAAGTTCCCAGTCATTCAGGTGGCAAATCACTCCCTCCATCACCTCCCCTAGCCCCCTCAGGCAAAAATGCGGAAGCCATTATTGATCACCGACCCTAACAACCACTGGTTATAGTGGCGAAAATCTCACACGTGGACGCAGCGCTGTATTCCACTGAGCGTGTGTGAGAGTGAGGCGGAGTGGACAACTACGTCATCAACATGGCGGCAAACAAATGCTATCATTGATGCGCTCGGACGCTTCCCGCGAAATTTCCGTTATTCAAGAGAATCCAGACGTTATTATCGAAAATGGGTATCTATTGTAACTTACCGTTATTGTCGAAAACGTTATTGTGGAAGTCGTTATTGGCGAGAGCCTACTGTACATTATAAATAATTTTTTCCAAGATTCGTGTCGTTATTTGGACGTGTCTTTACTCAGGTGTTTAGTACTCGGGGTGTTTCTGTAACTCAAGATAACAGGGTCTTATCCCTAATAGGTATCAACATGTTCTACTGCTGTGTCCAGATCCACCTAAAGGTCATAAACAGTCACTTACTCATACTTTTTTGAGCATGTATGATAAAAATTAAATATTAACCTTAACTAAAGCAGCTTATGGAGTATATAGAGTGAATACCTGGATTATTCCTGTCAGACTAGGGATGTGGAAGAGAGAGAAGGATGTAATATAAAGGTGGTGTAGAAGAGAGAGATGAGAAGTAGGTAACTGAGAGGAGGGCTATATCTCATCACTCACATAAAACATAATCAGTAATCATAATCAGAACTCATAATTTTGCTTATTCATAGTGTTTAAAATATACTGTATATAAATTTCATGCACTCATCAGCCAACCATATAAGGATATAGAGCAGGCATTAGATAGTGTCACTTTTATTATGTATACATTACGTAAATGAAGTTTACTTACTCAGTATCCTCTCCATCCCCTGTGGGCCACAGGTACCTTCCCCAAATATGAGGGCATGGAGTCCACCTAGTGAGAGCAAATGTCGCTACCTCTGGTGGCAGTATTCATGCCAGGACCACCACACACCCCTGTTGCATTGGCTGGGCCACGGAGTTTAAGGCCTGTGATAGTTTCAACTATGTAACTAGCGCTTTATTGGGGGGCTTGAGACTTGTTCAGACGCCTGGCTTTTCACTGGCCTGATTTCAGTGCCTACCTTGTCCCTCGATTATTGTTTTTGAATGTACAGGACAAGTATTTATGATGCGAGTCAAATTTAAATAATAATAATACTCAAGTGTATACAAGTAACAGGAGAACATTTAAAGGGGTTGTTTAGGATAAACAGCTACAGAACTATTAAGGGTGTCTTTTGTTCTCCAGTAAAACATTATTTAAGCGATATTTTCAGAATTTTTTTTCTTGTGTTATTTTATGAGGCCATAGACAGCATTACCCTTGAAGTGTTTATATGATTTATACAATCTGTATGGTTTGTCTCTCATTTGCAATAGGACTGATAAGTACTACAATAATTTTAATTTGCAGGGAGCCCCACACACCAGTATTGAGTCTGGAGTAGACTACAATGACATGTGTGTGGTGCCAAACTCTGGCATGATCTTCCTGACTACTGAGGATACAAAGATGCAAACATATTTCCTGCCTGTAAGTAGTTTTTATAATCTGACATGTTTGGAATAACCCTTGCATAATGTGCTGCTAAAGTTTCCTGATTTCGTCCAAGGAGCCCTTAACTAAGGTGGTAGGATCTAATCAAAAGATAAGCCTCCTCCTCCACAGCAATCAAAGCCCAAAAAGCAGCATTAGAAGCCCCCCCTTCTACCACCGAAGGCTGGTAGCCTGGTGATTCACACCTGTTCCTCATTTTATGGATCCACTCATAATGCAGGCTTGTTCTTTAGTACCAACTTTACACCGGCTGCAAAACTTGATGAGATAAGATGCATCTGTCCTTTTTACACTTGACTTTTGTTAAGAAGCTTAGTGCTTGGCCTTGTGTATTGTGCACAGGAGTTTTGGGATTAGATGCACAATTCTTAGTGCTTTATAATAAGTAAGAGTTTGTTTTTAGCCACTTTAATTTTTTGGCAACTGTTTACTCTGTTTTTTTTTATGAGCTCTAACCTTCTTTTTAGTTCTGTTCCCCTGTTAGTTCCGAAGTGCAACAGCTGATGGATACAGTACTGTGCTTGCCTCCTGTCGTAAGGGTTGATGGGTCAATCTTGAGGCATTCCCTGTCCATCCAGCTGTAAATTGGTACCTAACCCTACAAGTTGGGGAAGTGAAGGTGATCACGTGCAGTGCTGGCCACACTACACTGACTTTGGCAGATTTATGTACAGTATTGTAATGCAAGTGTGTTGATGGTCAGGCATCTACTGGCTGATTAAAACATTCTTCATAGGAATGTCTAAATGTAGTAGATGTGATGAAGGAGTGTACAATTGATTGACATTTAAATCAGGGGAGAGATTGGATATTGGAAAAATGGAATATAATTTGATATGATTAAGAAGGAAATACAGTACAAAAGAAACTGTGGCTAACTGTTGCTATCAGTTTGTACCAAATGTTTTCAATAATTACATCTCATAACAGTTTAGATTAATCAGTTTTGCAGTGTGTTTTTCTCTGTAGTTTGATATATACATCATGGTCATATTATAGGTAGAAATGCCACTTTCAGAGCCTTGGTGCTGCTCCAAGATGGTGTTCACACCTTGATGCACTGATAGAAGAGTTGGAGGAAGAAGATGCCCCAGATCAGTATGATGATTATAAGTTTGTCACAGAAGATGAACTAAAACAACTTGGCCTTCATGACCTCATTGGTGAGGATTCATTATATTATTATGTTGTATATATTACCATACCACACTGTATTGAATACATGGTTTGATAGGTAATCATTATTTTGGTTCATTAAAATTTTGTTGCCACTTTCTATGCTTGTCTTTCACCACTCATATTTCAGTATTTCCTTCTCCTTTCTTTAAGGTTTCTAGACCCCTTGACCCATCCCATATAAGTGTAGGAGAATAATGAAGAGGATAGATAACATTTTGATGAAAGTTTTGAATATACCTGTCTTAGTTAGACCCAAACTTATTGTATTCACCCATTCCCTTGCATCTGTGACCAATTTCTGTGCCCTCCAGTACCACTACGCAACAAGGCCATAGGGAGTGGTCAGGTTATTGAGGCTTGAGCCTGCCCAATAATTTGCCAATTTATTTGGGAAATGCTGTAAATTTTCAGGAAATAACTTGTTCAAGCTTTAAGAAAAGCCATTGCGCAACTGGAATGTTATTGCTGAATGTTCAATTGGGTAAACATGCTGCCAGAATCATATTGGATAATAGTTGAACTCACTTATCCCACTTATGGAGTCTGTTTTGTTTGTTTTTTCAGGAAGGTGCTGACTTTTTGTCTAGATAAAGTAAACTTCTAGATATTAGTGTCTGTGGTCATTATTGATAATGTTCATTTATTACATAGATGTCATTGCTGTATATAATGGCAAATAAGTGTAAAACTAGTTTAGTAATGGCAAAGAAGCGTGTGTTGTGACAGTGATGCTTGGTGAGGTGCCTGTGTTTGAGGTTTATCCTGTGTCATATAAAATGCTTTTAAAATTCTCAAAATATTATTTTCTTTATTTAAGATTGTTTGTGGTAAATGTGAGTTAAATGGACTGTGTACCCTGTTTGTCAGCTTTAGTTAGCCTTGCCAATATAAAAACGTTTCTTTCGGGCCTGTACTATTTACACAATGCTTTATCTGCCATCCCAAACATTCCATTCAGATTACCTTAGATGCAGCCTTTAGGTAACTCATCTCAATAGCTGTAGTTTCTATACTAATAATAACAGATGGACAGTGTTATTCATAAATGACATTAATATTAAATTTGTTTTAAATTGTATTCTTCTTTTCAGGTAGCAATATGCTGCGTGCTGTAATGCACGGTTATTACATGGATGTTCGACTGTACAGCAAGGCTAAATTAATTGCCAATCCATTTGACTATAATGATTTTATGAAACGTAAAGTGAAACAAAAGATTTCTGAAGAGAATCAACGGGGAATTCAAACCAAGGTAAGCAGATATAAGGCTATGCGTTTAAATCTTGTTCTTTAAAGAAAAATTATCTGGACATTTCATTATATAGATGTTTTGAGTTTGTAATGATATTTTCCATTTATTATTAGTGTACAATATTTCATTTCTCATCCTGCCATTATGCTTACATCATCATCTCAGTGTTGGACTTGAATGATGAGGATGAGACTTTAAGAAGTTAAGGTGATTTTGATATGTGGCAGGCTTTTTTTTTTTTGCCCCTTAATCTGATCAAACAGTCTTTTAACACCCACACTTCTTAAAATTGGCCTTTTTTATTTTGGCTGTTAACAACAAAAACTGGCTAGGAAAGCAGAACTGCAGATTACTGATAATTTATTAGTACAGTATTGACTTCTTTAGCATTCCTTTTGTCTTTGTGAACCGGAGTTGCAAGTTACAGTAGTTTAATTTTAGTTTCTCGGATATATCCAGCAAGCCTTCTAGGTAAGGCCTCTGTGGTTGGGAACAACATTCTTGTGAGCAAAAGCTACCTTGCATGAGGACAATTTTGTTGTCATATTTATCGATATGGTTATGTGTACAGTAGTTTATTTATAAATGGAAATTACATTCTTTAAAATGTGATTTTTATTCAAATCTATAATAATTTTTTTTTTTCCAGAAACTTCCAAGTATCAACCGTGATTTGTTTGAGCGGTTGATAGAGGAAGAAAAGGATGGCAAGAAGAAGAAGGTAGCAGCAGCACAAGCATTGTTGACAGATGACCGATTTGGTGATCTGTTTGCAAGTTCTGACTTCCAGATTGATAAAGACACTACTGAGTTTAAGTATGCACATTTTATTTTGGCTAGTTAATAAGACTGCAGCTTTCCCAGTAATGTAATCATTGCTCAAAATTTTCTGTGAATATTTTCAGTGTTGCTGTTTTCTTTTCAGCAGCAAAAATATGGTAAATGTTAATTAACAGAATTGCATTAAATATATCCAGTATTTTTATAAACTGTAATTGAGTTCACTGTGAAATTTTTAGGCATTAAAATTGTACTTCTGTATTAATCAGTTAGCAGTTTTGGAACCTAGAAAGTTTAATGCAGTACAGTATCATGTAAATACAATCGGTTCTTCTATAACGCGAATTAGTTATAATGCAATGAATGTATTAGGAGACATTTTTTACAACACAAATGTGAATTGGGTATAACACAATTGAGTAAGCACAACTACTGGGGTATGTCACTTAAGTAAGAATAAGCGATTTGGTATTAACCCTGAATAAATTCACAGTTAGCATGTGTGACTACAAGGGGTGAACTTGAAGGAGGGCAGTGATGATGTCACTGCCCATATAACTGAATTATTTCTGAATCAGTGTAAGCAACTTTATCTACATTTCAGTTTTATAAAGTTAAGCCTATGAGGCTAATTGCTGTTTTCCTTAATTTATATATTTTTTTTTTACTGTACTTTATGCTAGAAAATTTGGTATTGAAACACTTGATAAGTTTATTTGCATCTCATATGGATAGAACTGTTTTGATTTAAAAAGGTTTTATCATTGAAAGCTGGAGTCAAACTCCATATCTTCATTATTTTACCTCTTCACTCTATTGTTTAGCAACATAGACTAACACACTATAACAAGCATTTCCCCCCGTTTTATGTTTTTATTCTTTTGATAAATGATATAAAACTAAAATACAGTTATTTTAAAAACATAAAAACTTACAATGATACAGTGTAACAAATATTCAAGAAAATTTGTCAGTCATGTTGTTTTCAAACTTACTACCCCTAACTCCTTAATTCCCATTGAATCAGTTGTTATTATTACACAATGTTCTTCAGGAATGAAATTGCCTTGTTATAGAAGAATGGACTGTATTAGAAATGTGTACTGTATTAGTGTTTGGGTTTCCCTCATCATGGAGCAGTTAGTGTACAGTCACTAAAGTAAGTTCGCCTCCCCCCTGAACCATGAAACCCAAGATTCAGACTCATGAATCTGAAGCATTTATAGACAGAATAATGTATCAGTCTATTGCTTCAGATTTACGAGTCTGAATATTAGAGTCTGTGGTTCAGGGGGAGAAGTGAACGGACTTTAGTAGTAGTCGACTGTACATTGGGTTTATGATAATGCGGTTGAAGTTATGTCTGGCTGTTATGACGCCAACTCCACTGAATAACATTTTTCTTGTATCACTTTTTCCTATAGATTATTAAACCCTGTACTTAGTAGAATGGATAAGAAGAAAAAGAAACAGAAATTGCAAGAAGAAGAAGAGGAACAAGAATTTTTGAAAGCCAGGGTAATTAAGAATGCACTTTTCTTATTCTGGAAATTATATTTGTAGTCTCAGTGGATTTTTAGATGATAAAGTATTCTTGTACAGTACTCAAGTGATAGGATGTGATTTATGAGTTAGTAATATATTCTGTGTTGCCAGATGTGTATTGTGTGTGTTGTCTGATGTATAATATGTGTTGCTTGATATATATTGTTATTGCCTGATATATATTGTGTGTTGCTTGATATATATTGTTATTGCCTGATATATATTGTGTGTTGCTTGATATATATTGTATGTTGCATGATTGCTTGCTTATTAGGGCACTGAATTTTGACTATTCCTTGCCTTATAGTGATAGGAACAAATTTGACCTTATTGATATTTATTTGTTAATGTCTTGTAAAAAACCTGAGTACAGTAATGTATTAGCCTTTAGGTTTGAATTGTGAGCCCATTTACCATATTATTTAATAACAATTATGTGTGATCTTAAAATTTTACATATTTCAGGGTGATTTGGCTGAAGATGATAGTTCTGATTCAGATTCTATTATGTCGGACATGGGAGAGGATCTTGATGTGAGTATTTTTTCCCAGTCCATCCACTAACAACAAAAATGGGCAGAGGTTTAAAACTTGTTCCTAATGTACATAGACAGCATCACTGGTATGCTAGTCTTAAATAAACACATAAATTATGTTTGTGGATTGCATCATACTATGTCAGTATTTACACAATAGGGTTGGAACTTGGAGGCTTAGAATTAGAGTATAGTATACAAGATTTCATTGAAACATTCAAAATCCTGAAAAGGATGAAAAACATGAACCCAGGCCATTTCTTTGTGATATCACACACCACCAACACAGGGGATATAACTACAAGCTCACCAAGCTATCATACAGAATGAACATAAAGAAATCCTTTTTCATACAGAGGGTAGTAGACCTGTGGAATGGTTTACTAGCCCAAGCTGTGGAATCACAAGCAGTACTGGGCTTCAGAGTAGCCCATAACAATATTATAAAAAAAAATAGGAGGATCCTACTTAGGCCTATGGCCTACTTCCCATGGCATGGCCACCTCACGTGAGTGGCCATGAGGTAATAGAGCAAGAATCATAAAAGCTGCAATAGAAAAAGGAGGACATGTAAAGAAAAAATAACACATCCTTTATATCATTTTTAAGTTTCTCATATTTCCCAAGAGCAACTGTGGGATAAAAAATACAAGTGTCTAGGATCTTGTCCAAATCTATCAATTACTGTACATTACTGTGTTTTTTGAACGAATTCTTGTTTTTTCTCACAAATCTTTGTTCTTTGAACATCATGCACAGTCCAGATAAACGACCTACTGCTGTTGATGATCTTGACCAGGTTTTTACCCTTCATATTGTGTTGAATGATCTTTCCACTATGCATGTTGTCATGGGTAATGTCAGAGTAAATAATTTAATCTAATACAGAAGTAGTCATTGTTACGATGGTGTCTTTTACAAAACTGAAATAGCTGAATGAATGGTCCACCTATATGACCTTATCTAATTTCACCAATGTTGACAAAGCTTAGGGTCAATAAAGTTTTAACCTCGGGTAACTGACCTAACTTACCCAGACCTCACATACTTGTCTAACCTCGGAAAATGCCCACATTAATTCCCCTACCCAACCAAACACTGCTTTCCCTTGACACAAGCTTGATCCAATGGTGGGGGGATCATGCCCTTTCTTCCCGAGGACACTCATACTTATCAGTTTTTAAAATATTGATGATTTATTTTTTCTTTTATGTTTTAATCATTAAGAGCTGAAATTTCAGGTTCCTTTATATCCAGATTTGGAATCATCTACTCCTCCTCCTGCAAAATTAATTGTCTAATCACTTTTTTCTAGGTCAAACCCAAGAAAGAATATAAGGTTAAACAAGACTCAAAAACAGAAAGAGACAAATGGAAACAAATTAAGACGGAAAGTAGTGAGAAAAAATTTACAGAACCAAGTAATCCTTTGAAGAAGAAAACTCATGAAAGCAAGAGTCTTAACTTCACTGCAGCTGATTCTTTGACAGAGCTGAAAGCCAGAAGAAAGAAGCTTAGCAAGTAAATAACTTCTGTATCGTTTTGAGGGGGAGGGATGCTATTTCCAAACATAGTACAGTACTTTTGATTTAAAATTTTGCCCCTTAACCCCTAGGCCCCAGTTGATGTTCCGGAACATCCATCAAGGGTGCTCCGGTTGACATTGCGGATGCGTGCCTTTTCGCACCATTGTTTGAATGCCCAGTGTGGGTTATCACGTCACGACACATGCAGGGTAGCGTTGGTGGGCTCAGTGCGGTTAGTACTCATTAGCCTGTCACCATGGAGAGTCGTCCCTCAACCTGGCGACAGACTGCGTGTGTGTAGCCGAGTACTTTTTATGAAAAATAATGCAAATAAAATAAATTCTAAATGAATTATTTATAGGAAATAAGTATTACGATCAGTAAATATATGCATTACTGGCCATCCCGGACACAAAGGCAAGCAGAAAATGGCCGCTAAGTGTGTCGTGACCACGAGTGCTCCGTCAAAACAACACTGTCCCCTTATCTCCGTCTCCACTGCGGCCCCAGGGAAGTTAAAGTTGATTTTTCTCGATTTACCCTGCGTGGGGGGGCACAGCCAGTGGCACCCTAGCCCGGGGCGTAGGGGTTAATTTGGGCTTATTTGTAATTGAACTCCTTTTTTAATGTTACTATATCAATTCATCCTCCTTATGCTCCTATTAAATGTTTAAATAATACAGTATTGTATTGGGAAAAACTAGTACAGTAGTACTAAATTTTCCTCTGCTGAATATAAGTAGATTAAACAATTATATTCATGCTTTTAATATCTAAAACAATTTTATACAGAATGACCTTAGCTGATCGCCTTGACATGGAAGATGACCATCCAGAAAGCATCAAACAGCATACCTTTGGCAGCCGAGAGATGAATTATGTTGTGAAGAAGGCACCCAAGTTTGAGCGTATAAAGCAGCAGCAGAAAGAACACCAAGAAGAAAGAAGAAAATTTCATAGGTCAACAGCCAAGCTCAAAGGAAAATTCAAAGCCAAGGATCCCATATAATTGTAATAAAAGCAAGTTTTTCGTACTTTCTTTACTGTTAGCCATTATGCTGAAGTATTATTTTTATGTTGACAGTTTATAATATAGTGATATCTCCGTTAGCCGGAACAATTGGTGCAGAGCACTTCCGAGAATGAGAGATTTCCGGGTAACGAGACGATTTTCTCAAAGCCGGAATAAATCCCTCATCCCCGGAATTTTTCCATGTACTGGGAAAGGTTTTTTTTAAAAATTTTCTGTAAATTGTGCATTATTTCATCATCAGAATTTGATACCAGATCTGGAAAAAAAATTGGAGAGAGTTTCTGGAGTTTTCCAGAATTACCCACTATTTCATCCTTGGAATTTTGCTGTCACACCAAGAAAAAAAAAATTGGAGTTTCCAGATTTTTCTCAGAAAGTACACCTGATTTTTCAACCTCGGAAACTCGTTCATATTCCCAGAATTGGAGGAAATTTTCTGTATAATTCCGAGCCAATTTAAATTCTGAGTACTGGAGAGTTCCAGTTATATATATATATATATATATATATATATATATATATATATATATATATATATATATATATATATATATATATATATATATATATATATATATATATATATATATATATATATATATATATATATATATATATATATATATATATATATATATATATATATATATATATATATATATATATATATATATATATATATATATATATATATATATATATATATATATATATATACTATATATATATATATATATATATATATGCAAGTAAATCACTGTAGGGCGTGATCAGGTATATGCTGATAACCACAAGGAAAGAAAACACGTGTTTTCTTCCTTTCTATATATATATATATACACACATTTCATTAGCCCAATAAAGCACGGACTTCTCGTACAATCAACACCTCAACCAGCCAGGATTCGAACCCACGGCCCATGAAGCCCATGACTGTGACCGGAACGCTACCTCTGGACCACCAGGATACTAAAAGCAGTCCTAGACTCTGTTATATATATATATATATATTCTCTCCTTGACTTACGACATATTCAACTTTCGACAACCCGGACATACGACAGCCCTGTCTCCTCCTCTGCTTCATCCAATTAATGTAGTCTCCGTGCTTAATTAAAAAATTATTGAGGCCCCGTGTGCATTCAGCTGACTACATTAAAGGTAAGTGCACAGTAACACTTTATTCATTTTTTATTAATGATTACTTTTACTGTAATGTATTTCATTTTAGAATTTCTATGTATTATTTTCGCCTTACGACCTGGTCGTCGGGACGGAACTAAATATATATATATATATATATATAATATATATATATATATATATATATATATATATATATATATATATATATATATATATATATATATATATATATATATATATATATATATATATATATATATATATATATATATATATATATATATATATATATATATATATATATATATATATATATATATTATATAAAGTTATATACTTACCGGTATGTGTTGTGTTGCATGAGATAAATTATATATTGTTTTCTTTTCATATGCACTTTTATGGTCATACATAATGTATTTTAGCCTTATTAGACATTTTTTTTTCAAACAAATGTATTTTCTGTGGTGATGGTAAACCCTAGGAGGATGTAGTTGCCAGTACAAAACTGAAACCCAGACTCCCCCATGTGACACACTGGTTCTCAAATGACCCCAGAATGAAGTACAGTACTGTATAGTTCAGGCATTCCTTGGGTTAGATAACACTCGAGTAAGATAAATTTGACTGCAGAATACTATAGATGTAATCTCCGATTTATGATAATCCATGCTAACGTTAGTTAGGTTTTACACCCATTTTTAATTTACGTTAGGCAAATTCCACATTAACGATAGCTATCAGGAGGCTAAACTTGATGCAGAATGTAAACACATCTTTCTCTTCACTCGTCAAATCCAAGATGGTCACTTTGCATAGAAACTGCTTTTCCATCCTCCGCACAGTTCAGCTACCCACGTGCCTCCTGAAGACCACCCTGGGTATCTAGTTTCTGTGCTTCATTCCAACGTGATTGTACCTGTCCACGCTCATGTAACCAATGTTATCGTTATTCATTATTGCGCGAGAGGAAAACACTGACCGGGCAGTCTCACACGTGTTACGCCATTCCGACATTGCATCATCATATTTTGGGATATTGTGAGTTGTGTAAAAAAAAAATAATAATAATTTACAGTTGAATATTTTAATGCCAATCTGAGTTATATCAAATTACAAGTTATCATATTCTGAGTTACTAAGTGTATACTGTACAGTACACGGCTTGTTTACAAAAGAGTTGAATAGTTGTTTCTAACTTCATATTAGACCATTTTCTTCGTCATAATACTATATCAAATAATTTGCAGAGTACTGTACTGTACAATTACCCTCTACAGGTGCAGACAAATTCAAAGCAACTGAACATTTAAAGGAACATTTTCATTGCCATATACTGATGGATGAGGTTTGCCACATGTAAACAAAGCCTTTTGCTTACTCATGTTATACAAGAGTTGTGTAAAAACCACAAGCTAGATTTTAAGTATTGTATGTATTCACCCTTCTGTAAAATTAAGTTAATTATAAATCAATATCATTGGGTGAATAATCAAAAAGAAGAAAATCATAATAAAATGCTTTGTAAACTTTTTTTCTTTCACTTTTATTTAAAGTTGAAAAGTACTTCTTGGTGAAAAAATTAGTAGAAGAACCTCTCGAAGAATGTAACTTAGTGGGCCCCATTGGGAGTAGAGGAAGCCCTACCAACTGGCTCAGGTATCTCTCATCCTTATCAAATGTCTCCATCTGAGGAATATATAATTTTTTTTAGATACAGTACATGTAACAAATGGGGCACAATGATTGTACATGTATACAAAAAAATAGCAGATAGAATATTTGCAAATTGTTTTAAATATATGAAAAAAAAATCCAGATAAAAAAAAATTGTGACCATTCAACAAAATTTGCTTTATTTTACCATAAATATAGAAGTGGGTCTCACCTTAGCAATGACTTTGTAGTGAATATCACAGAAAGCACAGCGGTCATAAATGGGTCGCCAGTGGATGTCGATATTGCCGAGACACATGTAGCTAGTATCTAGCATACACCTTGATATCTGATCGATTACAAACAGCACAAACTCACGGAAGGTAGGAACATTGGGGTCTAATGCGTTTTCAGGGTATGTGGTTGGAGGTAATGTTTGATTGTCTGATGTAGAATTGTTTACTGACAAAAGAGAAAAACTTTTCCTCTCGTGTAATTTCAAATTTGGGAAATTATTACCAGTATATGTAATGTTTGTATTATTCATTTTCCAACTTTTAAACACTTCTGCTTGATTTGAAGAATTACTTAGTTCACTGATGCTCTCACTCTTAGATGGAAGCGTATTTTCTTTCTGTATCCGATATTTTTCAATCATATTTAACTGAATATCCTTTTTATAATTTTCTGGTATTTTATCTCTGTATGCAGACACCAACCTAGAAACAAAAGGAAGACTGTTTTAAGATATACAGTACAGTATATACATTGCTGGGTTTTTTTTTGATAAAGATAAAACCACAATAACTTATGAATGATCAGACAGATAACTTAAACTGTTTTATAGACTTAAGTACAGCAGTTTGGGAGTACAGTATAGCATTAAAGTTTTCATTTCACTAATACAATATGTGATTAAGATATATATTTTCAAGGAATTAATCACATAGATTATTATGCTGGTTAGGTTGGTGTCTGAAGCAGGTACACTGGTCAAGCAGATGAAGTGATATCCGCTGAAGTTAAAGCGTGTGATATAATGAAGTATTTATTGCCAAAGCCTGAGTCTTAGATACCTGGAAGGTAGAAAGCAACACTTAGACACAGTTGTGGCACATAGCTGGGGGTCTTGTTCCTTTTGAACTTACTGACTCTATTACTACAGGTTCATTTTGTTGATCACTAACACTATGAGCTTGGGTACCACAAAAGTCATGGGAATACAAGAGGTTTTCTTGACATTGTCTTCATATAAGACAACCACAGTAAATGTGTGAACCTCAGGTTTCCTGTCCCTCTCGTGTTATTGTGTCTCAGTGTGATTCTCCTTATAACTACTAATTCAAGTAGATGGGTGTGCTTATGTTACCTAGTGAAGGGATGCCTGACCACAGTGAATGTGAGGGGTGAGAGTTGCATCTCTTTGGAAGCATCCTTAGCTGACAAGGGTGGAAAGGTACGAGTGGATGCTTCATGAATCTGATTAGTGGTCATGTTTGACACATCCACACCTGCCCACTTCAGCAGGTGTCCTAGCCAGGTAGTAGTACCTGTCTGAAAAGACCAACTCTTCATTAGAACATAAAATTAACAGGAACTTTGAACTTTTGTTTTTTGTATCATGAAATGAGTTGAATTTTTAAAAATTCATAGTTTAAAAATGTGTTGTAAAAAGTAATACACAGAACAGTTAGTTAATTTTTAAGTTGGTGGTACGGTGATTATGAGCTTGTCGCTAAATACTGTGTCTTGGGTTCAATCCCTGGTTCAGGTCAGATGTGAGAAGGGTGTTATACAATAAGACCCTGCCAAAGGTTGCAGGTTTCCTCCTATACTATCACTGGACAATGAAGATTGTACCAAAGAATAGACTTTCTGCCCAAATGGCTAGTAAGTTGTTAATTTAGTGAAAATGGTAAATAATAATAATAATAATACAATTTCCTTGTCATGCATTGGCTTTACAATCCTAATGATAACATATGAGTACAGTACAGTACAGCAAGTCCTTGTATAATGTCGGCCCGCTTAACGTTGTTTACGTACTACTTCGCTAATCTTTAGATACCCAAAATTCGTTTAACGTCCCTCTCTAAGCGCGCTACCTCTCACTTGCGGAACGTCACAGCGTCGCCAAGCCAGTCTCTGTTAGGCTTCCACAGCATTCGTGCATGTTTAAGTGTTTTTACTCTTAATACTGTACTCTAACAATTCAAAATGGCTTCCAAGCGCCCATCAAGTGCTACTGATGCTAGTGTTGTGAAGAAACAACATAAGACCCTTAGCCTTGTTATGAAATTGGAGGTTTTAATCCGGGAGGAGGAGCCACCCGCCGGGTCTCAGTGACCCGCCACCCTCCTCTCCCACCACACATTCGCTCCACCACCTCCATCCATCAGTGAGTACAATACAAAATGATTTTGTTTATATATATATATATATATATATTATTTTCTATAAAAATGCCATTGAATTTCTGTGTGTGTAATGTATTTCATGGGGCAGAGGGAAGCTCAGGAACGTAACTTCCGTATTTTTATCTATTTCTTATGGGAAAAATTGATCCACTTAACGTTGTTTCGTATAATGTCGTGCTTTCAGATACGTAACCCTGACATTAAGCGAGGACTTACTGTACTGCAATAGTCTTCCAATGAGTTTCTCCAGAGGAATACCTTTTTTTTTATGGAAATCCCTGATCATCAGGCCAATAAAAAAATTATTTACTTACTGTACCTTGGCATTCCTGCAGTAAGCAAGGTGGTGTTGAGTATCATAGGTGAGCCTCTGGAAGATATTGAACCTCTTGAGGGTATTATAGTGCTGGCGGCAAACTTGAGCCACCCGCTTCTGACGCTTCATTAATACATTCTTCCACCCAATGTCCAAGTGTATCTTCAGATACAGACATGAATATTTTAATACACCTGAATATGATAATAAAAATACAGGATGTCTAAAAAAAAAACAAAAAAAAAAAACACCTTAGAGATTTTCATGGAGATCAACTGAAGTCTTGCATGACAACAGTAACACTCTCCTCACTTGTTGATGTGCAGGGTCTCCCACAAGAGAGGATGATGTTTTTGTGGTACATGCATTCACACAATCCCCATGGAAATCTGTAAGACTGTGTTTATTTTTATTTTTTGAGACATCCTGTACAGTATACAGTATGTATCTTCTTATGTCAAACTTCAGATATACTGTGGTGCACCATTACTGGACAAGGTACAGAACAACAAGTTCACAAATCTCTTGTAAAAGTCAAGTCCCAGATTTCTTGCTTGTGATTTTTGCTGCACTGTGGCTTCATTTCCTTACCACCAATTTAGTAGTTTGTTCATTACAGTACAATTTCCCAGACTAAATCACACTACCCCTCACTGCAACTTAAATTATTCAACACTAACTTAAATGACCCTAAATTGTAAGTTACACTATCCCACACCCTAAATTTACACTATTCCTCACACTAGACTTACACCATCCCACACTCTAAACTTACACTATCCCACACTCTAAACTTACACTATCCCACACTCTAAACTTACACTATCCCACACTCTAAACTTACACTATCCCACACTCTAAACTTACACTATCCCACACTCTAAACTACACTATCCCACACTCTAATCTTACATTGTCCCACACTCTAAATTTACACAATCCCTCACCCTAAATTTACATTATTCCATACTTTAAATTTATATTATCCTAGACACTTACATACACTGCCCCACACACAAGCTACAGTAGTTTTCAGGTAACTTTCACCATCCATACTGCACGGTTCTACAATTAAATATCACTTCCAAGAACATTTAACCTTGCATCCTATACATCCATTCAAAACATAGGTTATATAAAATTTGTGTTAAATCTCTCTGTGGGTGGCTTAGCTGGCATAAGAGACTATCTGGGGGGAGGGGGATTAAAGCCACTGGCATTCTTCCCCCAAACAAAAAGTAAAAAAAAAAAAAGTGTGTGCATGTGTGTGACCTGTGCCTTTCTCTGATATGGTGGCTGAAGTTGGAAAATGGCCAGAGAGATTGACAATTAAAAGTACATAGTGCAATAATTATCCACTGTATGTGAAGTAAATATTGGCTGTACATAGTTTATCAGCGAGAATCTGCAACCACCCAAATGAGCATTGTATTGTACTGCACTAAATAATGTGCAATCCAATTTCTCTGGGGGTATCATTTGTTGGTGGCGAACAAGTTATTACTATTATCATTATAATTGCAAATTTTAGTTGATTATTATTATGATTTCCTGTGAGTGTTTCCTGCTTACCTTACTGTTAGACTGGGAAATGTGGGTCATATTTGGAGGATTTTCACCTGTAGTGGTGGGGGTTAGCTTCCTGCTGGGGTTGTGACGAGCCTTCGGGATGCTGTTGCTGCCGAATTTCTGGGTGGGGTTTTGGGCTAAAAGTGTGTTGGTCCAGGAGGCTGGCAGTGGTGCAAAGTGGGTTGTTGAGGTGGAGTAGCCAAACCACATACTCCACAACCAGCCTACCACCATTATTGTCACTACCACCCACCACCACCTTTCCTGGCGACACCTCCATCCCATCATACCCAACCCCGCTAGCGTGAAGAGGGACAGCTGATGATCATTAAAATAAGATAAAAAGTGAGGTTTATCGCTTAAAAGTCACACAGATAATGCAGTAATCTTAAATAATTATTTTCTTATCAGAGACTAATTAATATCTTAAGTTTACAGGTGGCTTTCTTAATAAGTACAAGTTGCCAGGGTATATAATAATGGCACATGAGGAATAGGGTTTAAAAACTTATCATCGGCTGGAAGCCTTGACATCTGTAACTAGTTTACAGCTTCGTGTGGGAAAACCTACT